AACTATGAACAAATTAGCCTGAAACATGGCACTCAAGGTGTTAGAATCATGGAACATCAGGTTTAAATGGAATTTTTCATAAAATTTCCTAAAATTATACCTTGGAAATCAGTTTTCCCTTTTGAGAAATGGCTTTCAGATGAACTTTTAAAAACCACTAAACCCAAATAGAAAAATAGATAATTCACCCAAAAAAATACAAACAGGAAACAATCTTATGTTGATAACTGAAATGCAAATGAGAGCAATAAAGATATATTTTTTTAACTTTGTCAAACAAGCAATTACAAAAATACAAAGTGCTGTATGCTCTCAATGATGTGCTGAAATTCCATCACCCACAGCATGCTATCAATGTAGGGTAGACCGGTATACCATTTTTGTAAATCATTCAATGCACTCACACCCCTAGCTAATCTCATGGTCTGGGAATATACACCAAGAAAACATTCCAAATAGTTAAAAAAAAGCAGGGACACCAAGTTACACAATGATACAGCAGGGAGAAACCAGGAGCAAACAGTGTCCACTAATAGCAAAGTGTTCTGAAAAATTCAGGACCTCTCAAATATTGACTTATACGACCATTAAAAATCATGTTTACAAAAGAGTTTATGACAAATATTGTTTATTCTAATATTAACTGAACAAAGATAAAATTTAAATTACATGGACAGTATGGTCTCCATGTTCATTCGTGCTTAAAAATGAGTTGAGACAAAAAAATACTAAAAACAAAGTGAAATGTGAGTGGGCCCAAAAATATCACAGGTAAGATTTGTATATTCTTTTTGCTACTTTCCACAATGAATATGCATTACTTTTCTAAATAGAAAAATAAAAGTTCCCATTATGATTTATTTGCTGAAAAGATGATATAAAAGAACATTGAAGGAAGCTTTTTAAATAATCTCATTCCATCAATCCAACTCTTTCATTTCAGTACTAGCTACGTGTACACAGATCTTTGGTGTAGAGGTAAATTAGTTTGAATCTTTGAGGAGTTCTCCCAGGACTAGGTACTCTGGAATTGAGAGAAATTATTAAGGCCCTTTCCTGCCTGGTCCCCTCCACCAACAATCTCTGGCTACTACGAAGACAGAACAATCTCCCAGAAGCACTGTGTGTCAAGGGAAGGGGCAAACTCCTGGCTCTAATCCCAGCCTCCATGCTGACCTCTGTGTAACCTTGGCAAACCATCTAACTGCTCTCAGCCTCAGTTTCCCCATGTAAACAATGGGCAAGGAGGGATGGTCAGGGTCCCCTAAAATCTCTTTTAGTTCTATTTCCTGTGAATATGCAGACAACCCAAAAATCTCTGAATGGGTCTCAACTCTTGAAAATCTTTATACAAATCAAATCAGTTTAAATACAATTTAAAGACTGGCAATTTAAAAAAAAAAAAAATCCCTTTAAATCTTCACACAGAGAGCCTTTCAATGTTTGGTAATAAAGACTTTTATATGTTGACCGATCAGCCTCACAGAGTCCAGTGACAATTTAAATAAGCTTTCTCGTTGAAGTTAGGTTGATCTAGACTAAGGAAAAAAGATTAATTAACTAAATAATGAGTGAATAAAAAGTCCAAATGATAAAGTTTCTTTTTAAAGTTTTATCATTTTTAAGTACTTAAATTACACCCCTTCATCCCAAAGAAAGGGAGGACAAATATTTTCTGCTTGGCCTGTTTTAATACAAGGTCAAGTCTCACCTCAGGTTTGGGTATTCCAAAAGAGAAGTTGAAATCAAATGAACTCTCATTGAAGGCTTTCAAATACCATTCAAGCGACCTGAAAAACAATTTCTGAAGCAATAACTTGGGCCTTGCCTAAATTCACTTACATGATGCAACAAGTTACTTTTACTCACTTATGGAACTCAGCCTCCTGCTCACATGGAATTAACCTTACCCTCTTTCCATCCTACAGAGATGCTGCTGGTGCTGATGCTCACTGGAGTTGCTGAAGAGATGGAAGTTCTTACTTCTGAGGGTGGATATTAACAGAAGTACAGGTCACCTTGTAATTAACAATTCTATTTTGATCCATGCTCTCAATTTAAGTCAATACTCTAAGAAGCTTCTCTGAGCTTTGCCAGTCTTAAGTGGAAGATAGCCCCTAGTAACCTGCCCTTGCAGACACCGCTGTCCAATCGTTTCTCGAAACCTTTCCCAGAGATCCATGTGCCTTGGAGCTAACAAAGTATAAACTCAGAGCCCTTCACTTGGTCCTTACAGTGCACTCCAAGACCTGGACATTTGTATTCTTCTTAAAGCCAATCCCCTGCCCAGTTAGATAAGCATCAAGCTCCTGCAGAACTGAAGCCTCTCCTGCCACTTCCCTGCAGTGACTCCAAGAGAGCTACTGTCTGACATCTACCACCAAAACCATCCCATGATAAAAAACAATGAAGACTCCAGACTTTGATGGATCACGGGACTCAAGGACCCTAGCCAAGCACAGCTCTGTGAGGAGGTAGTGGCAACATAGCAGGAGCACCAGAAAAGGCCCCTTGTCCCCCTAGTTACCTCCAATACCCACTAGCCTGTGTTTGATGCCCTCTCACTGCAGACTCAGCCTTTCATGCCATGATGAGGCTTAAAGAGCAAAGACCCCTGGAAGAGAAAACACAGTGACCTGCATTCATATTCAAGACAAAGTGACAGGTGACAGATTGTTTTTCCCCTGAGACCAGTTTTCTTATAGTGAGAGGCTTTGGAGCAGCTGAAAATGGTGAAGAGAACAAGGAGAGGATCGCAGGCCCCGAGAAGGGAAGGAAAAGTGAAGAAAAAAAAAAAAAAAACAGGCAGAGGAGGGCACTGAAATAAGTGTCACCTACTCTTCAGACTTTGCCGGAACTTGCAAGGAGAGATGTAGAAAGAAGTCACATTCCTGGCCTGGAAGATTACAGTCAAGTTTGGCTCAGGTGAAAACACTCCAGGAATGCATGGGGGAATGATGGTGGGGACACTGGGTGACCTGGCAGCTGGAACAGGAGATGAGCAAGGGTCCTTGCAGCTGTGGGGTCTCCAAGAACCTGAAACTATGCAGAGTGAAGCCCCTGCCTGATCCCCAGCGCAGGCCTTGACACACAATAAAATACTCAGACAGTGTCTCTTTTTGTTGAGCGAATAGAAAGCATTCTAGATAAAGATCCATCAAATTCCCAGAGGCTCTAGGTTGGCTTTGTTTTCTCTGACACCCTTGCTGCACTGTTTCCCTCAGTGTGGGAGGGGATCCTTTTCAGTCTTTGCCATGAGAATCCTAATTCATCTTGCAAGGCCAGTTTAGGTTTTCTCTATAAATTCCTGGTGTTGTTCTCCTTCGGTTTTTCTCCCCTTTTCTAACGAGCAAGCAGAGGCCTCCAAGTACATTCATCTGGTGCTTACCATATTTTCCAAATATCTTTCATAATAGTCCTACTTCCAGAAAAGATGGGGGGGGGAGCTTTTAAGTTCACAACAAAAACAATAAAATGTAGTTTTAAAAAGAATTTAAAATGGATGCCAGAAATAGTTTATGAAGAAAAAGTTCACCACAGCAAGAGACTGGGATAAAGAGTTATCAGAAACTGCCGGAAACCAATGCAAAAAGATAAACATATGAGGCATATGGAGCATTCTCAAGGTCTGATAAAATAAAAATTTTAATTCCGTGAAGTCAGAATTTATTTTTCTGACAGTAATTCTAGGAGGAAGTTGCTCCTGGCTTTTCATATATGCTGCGCAACTTGTCATTTTATGAATCTTTCTGAAGACCTTTGTTAGATCCTTGTGGACAAAGACTATATGTCTCTGGGACTATAGGTCCTTGTTAATGGCCTATATGACATGCACAACTTGCTTGCCACTCTGGTTATTCTATTGTGTTTCAAGTTCCCAGGATAATCAGACTAACAGATTAATCAAATCTCTTAGCAGAAGGATCCTCAAACCATTCAATACAGCCCTACCGTCCTCAGCCATGTGCAATGATGGGATTTTTAAAATACTATCACTCCAACACCCCTGGTGCTAGTGTGCTGGTAGAGGCTGAAGGTCCAGCCATCCCCAACCTCATGCTTCCTTCTCCCCTCCCCTGTCGATTCATTCATTCCTTTTTTAGTGGAGTGTCTTTCCTTCTGTCCTCACCACAGATTCTCCATCCCTTTGAGCACCAGGGCTTTGCTTCATTAACCTTTGCTTCATTACCTGCAATAACTAGACCAGTGCTTTCTTCAAAGAAACTGGCGTTTAATCTCTCTCTCTCTCTCTCTCTCTCTCTCTCTCTCTCTCTCTCTCTCTCTCTCTCTCTCTCCTCTCTTTCTCATAAGGAAACTGAATCGTAGAGAGGTCCCAGAGTATGACTTTTCATTACTCTGCCCAGCTCCTGTCTGACAAACCCTCAAACTGGGACATTATCCTCAACTGTGGAAGTTGACGATAATGTCCCGGCTCTTCCCAGTCCTACCTTAAGAAGTCCAGAAGGTCAAAATGCAATTTACTGAGGAGATACAGACTCAAGGGCCAGAAGACATTCTCACCTGCTTGTTTCCATATGCCCCTCAAAACTACAATGGACAATCCTTCAGAAAAAAAAAAAGTCCTTTGCACTTTGCTAGTGCTCAGTAAATATCTATTACAATACGAAGTCTATAACACAGCTACCTTGATCATAGTAGGTACTCATTAAATATCTTTTAAATTGAGAACCTCCTGGCACATCAGTTATTCACATAGTAGATGATCAATGAATGTCTCTTAAATTAAGCTGATCTTAGTACAGCTGCCTTGCACATAGTAGGCCTCAAGTAAAAGGCTATGAAATCAAATAGTAGCACTCACTCTTTAGAGAAACCAGGCAGAGGTGACATTAATCAAATCCCAGGCACAGATCCATGAATGGAAATGCGCGTCTGGAAGCAGCGCTTTCTAGAGTGCTGGGGAAGCGCGTGACAGTGCGCGGTAGCAGGGGGTGGGGGGGTGGGGGGTAGGTACCGCGCTCATTCCGGACATTACAGACCTCCACTGAAGGTTCCCGGGTATTGATTAGCGATCGGAATCCGTTCCCCAATCCAGGGGCAGGAAACCGCTGCCTCTTTCAATTGTCACTTCGCGGCCGCACCTGGAACTCCCACCAAAGCCTCCTCCAGGGCATCCGCCCACCGGGCTTCTCCACCGATTCCAGAGTAGCGAGCAGAACAAAAGCAAAAGCCACCCGGGATCCCGGTTGTTTCTCTGATGGAAAGCAATCCGGGAGGAGGCAGCGGGGGCCGGCCCGGACCGAGCTGTGATGTCAAACCAGCCACTACCCGCACCGCCCGCCCTCCCTAGCAGTTTCGGGCTGGGGATTGCCGAGCCGTGGAAAGCAGCGGGGTTCCCTCCCTCCCGAGGACCCGCAGAGTGGGCGCCTCTATCGGGTGGGGCGAGGGGAGGGCGCTGTATTAACCCTTGAACAGGGAGGGAAGGAGGCTGGAAGGGAGGATAATAGGGAACTGAGGCAGACCCCTCAACCGAGATCCGAATCTGAACTCGCAGTGCGAACCGCCCCTCGGAGACTCCGATCGCGCGAGTCTGTTCCTGGGGGTGGGGTCCCCCCGCGGCACCTGGTCCCTATTACCTCCTCCCCGATGCACCCTCACGGAGGAGCCCAGCGGCAACCTTCACATCCAAACCAGCGTTCTAGGAACAGCACCAGCGCGCGCGGTCCGAGAAGGAAGAGGTCACCGAGGGCGGCCAGGGTGGGTCCCGCGGGAGACAACCCACCGCCCGCAAACTCGCTCGCAGGGTGTTTGCTTGGCCTAAGGGTTTATTGTGAAGGTGAGGCGGGGGTGCAGAGCGAGCGAGGACTTCTCATTTCTTCCTTCTCCCAGCTTCTCCGGAGCCCGCCGAACTCCGAGAGGCGCGGGCGACGGGAGAAGAAAGCCTGCGAAGGGGGGAGCCACTTACCCAGGCAGAGCCGGAGAGCGCGGCGGCCCGGGCGCGAGCGGCGCCTTTGTCTGTGGAGCCGTGGCGCCAGCGCGCTCAGCCAGGCCGGTCCCAGCCCCGGCGCGCGGCGAGCTCCCGCGGGCGCCCGGACAGCCCAGCTCGCCGCTCCAGCTCCAGCTAGGGCTCGGGCTCGGGCTCGGGCTTGGGTCCGGCCCCCGCCCGCGCCGCCGCCACGGCTCCGCCCCGATTCGAGCCCCGCCCCCCGGCCCGCCGGGCCCCCACCTGCTGCGGCGGCGGCGCGGGGCAGCCGGGCCCAGGGCGGCCGGGGGTGGCAGCCTTCCGCGCGCGCCCTGTTCTTCCCCCTGCAGCCTCGCAGCCGCTCCTTCGCGCTGCTACCCGGCCCAGGATGCGCCGTGTAGACGGCCTTCTCCAACCCAGCCCCGGAGACAGCCTTACCTGGACAGTACAGTTCCTGGACACACATTCTCCAGGGTTCCCTGTCACCTTAGAAGCCTGTCCTTGCTACTTTCCCGGGAGGGGATCCCCCAGGCTCTGTCCGGGAGAGATGGAGAGGCGGGAAATGGGGTCCTCACGAGACCCGACAGAAACCCCACCTCGCCGGGTCAGCTGGCGCTGTGGTAGTGGCCAGGAGAGAGGGCGGGGAGAGGAGCCGGCGGGAACCGGACGGCTCCAGGCCCGGGGAGACCCGCGTGGACAATTGGGTACAGCGGGTCCAGGATCCAGGGGATGCAGAACGCACGTGCGCCAGTCTCGTGTCTACCCTGTGTTCACCGCGGAGCGCCTGGGCTGTGATCCGTGCTCATTTGCACCGCCGAAATAAAACGAATAGAAGGGAACGAATACTTTGGAAACCAGAAAAAATGAACAGAAGCCACCAGATTCCTAACTTTGGTAATAATTTGGCGTATGCGATGCCTTCTAGCAAGCCAAAGAAGTCCGCACCAAGTAGATGCGTCACTGAACGCCAGTATCCCACTGGAGTGATTGGAGAGCTGCTTTCATAGGCAGAGAAAAATGTGATAACCTAAATATTGTATAATGAGGTCATTAGTGGCTTAGCTGTCCATGAGCCCTCTCTTCTCCCAACCAAAGCATTCAAAGTGAGAACAGCTCTTGGAACTTCATAGGGTCTGCTGCATGTATACTAAGGTTATTTCTGCTTCATCCCCTTTCCCAGTCTTCTACAATTTCAGGTGTTTTAATAGACTCTTAGTGATTGTTGAAAGAATTAATCAGCGAATCATATAACTGGGCTAATTTTTATGTGGGAAAAAAAGATTAAAAATTGTGGCATCATATTGGAAAATGAAGTAAGTTGTTAGTATATTGATGGTCATGTGATAGGTAATAGATGTTGGCTGTAATTATGCAGATACAACTGCCACGAATCACATGTATGTAGATATGTAAGAGGTTTAGGATTATATGCTAAATTAGAGACAGTAGTTATCTGGACTTTCATTAACCTAAGAGAATAGGTAGGGATGAGGACCACGTGTTTAACAAGCAAATGTGTGTATATCTGTGGGAAGACATTCCAATGTGTCTTTCCCAAAGAGAACATTTTAACATTTTGCTTGCTTAATTTTCATTACAAATAAGTATTATCAATTCAGCAAGTATGCATAAGTATGAAATGTTCTGTGTTGATTTATTCATTTTTATAGCATCTCTTCTAAGAAAGAACAAGAGGCCCCAAGATGCTCATATTATCCAAAGAGACAGGGCATGTGTCCCACCAAAGTAAACCCAGATGAGGATCTAGTGAGTTCAAATGAAGAGGATGACCCAGGACACCAGAAAAGCTCAGTCTCCCTTATGGGTGTTTTAGCTCAGTGTCTGGGTTCTGGAAAATGCTCTTGGGAGCTATGTGCTTGTCCACGTAAGTTAATCTATTTCTTCCATTTGGCAACCGGGGAAATGTAATTTTCTCCACGTGATGAGTGTGAGTGAATGGCTCATGCATGGTGAATGGCCCTCCTCCAAGTTGTGGGACAATAGACTATAAAATATGCATTTTAATATCAGAATCCATTACTGCACAATGGCAGGGGAACAAATAAGAACTGGGTATTTTATCTGGGTGCCCTCCATCACACTTGTGTCACATGGGGGTCCTTCTCTTGTGTGTTCTGCTCTCAGAAAACAACTGGCTAGGGTAGAGGTCAATCAACAGAAAATAACTGCATAAAACCCAGGTGTTGGGAAGGTCACCGAGTCATGTTTTTTCGGGGGGAAAAAAATGTGTGAGCATTTCCCCATTGCCCATGACTGGACATCACAACTGTTCCTTGGCAGCTAGACCAGGGATGCCAGCGTCTATGGTGGCTAGGTATGCTGTGGGGAAAGGGGCTGTTGCATGGAGCAGGAAAGTACCATGCCTACCAATTAATCTCTCCAATTTTGACTAAGTGGTGGAGGGGAAGCAACCTAGATTATTAAACTCTATTCCCCACCTCATTCCCTTCTACACCAAGGAGGAATTGACATCACTGCAGGCCCCCAAAATGTTGCCTCTCTCTGATGGGTAAGGACCTGTTGTGTTTGAGGAACCAACTGGACTTTGAGTTCTAGATGACGGAGCCCCTCAGCAGCAGGACTAGAAACAACTCTGTGTGTCTTTCTTCCTCTCATGAATGGTGCCCCTGTGTCTGGCCAGGAAGATGAGACTGTCTTGAAGTAGTCTCACAGCCTGCAGCCTAAGACCTAGAAATCAGAGATCCCTCCCTCTTCCCTGTTGCTTCAGGCTACCCTGGAAATGTCTTCCCTCCAGCAGAAAGATGCAATCCAAGATGCAAGTGTAGATTTGGGGGAAGAAAGCAACAGGCTCATTGGGCTGCATGGCTCTAGCTATAAGCAGGTGATTCTAATCCTGCATGTTCACTACAGGAAGAATCCTCTAGGAAATCTTCAAGGACACTGAGAAAAAGAAGCAGTATACCTAGCAGACCCAAAAGGCTCTACAAAGAAACTATTAGAGCTAATAAATGAATTCAGCAAAGTGGCAGGATATAAAATCAACACGCATAAATCAAAGGCATTCCTGTATATCAGCGACAAATCCTCTGAAATGGAAATGAGGACAACCACTCCATTCAAAATATCTTCAAAAAAAATAAAATACTTGGGAATCAACCTAACAAAAGAGGTGAAAGACTTATACAATGAAAACTACAGAACCCTAAAGAGAGAAATAGAAGAAGATCTTAGAAGATGGAAAAATATACCCTGTTCATGGATAGGCAGAACTAACATCATCAAAATGGCGATATTACCAAAAGTTCTCTATAGGTTTAATGCAATGCCAATCAAAATCCCAACGGCATTTCTTGTAGAAATAGAGAAAGCAATCATGAAATTCATATGGAAAAATAAAAGACCCAGAATAGCAAAAACAATGCTAAGCAGGAAGTGTGAATCAGGCGGTATAGCGATACCAGACTTCAAACTATACTACAGAGCAATAGTAACAAAAACAGCATGGTACTGGTACCAAAACAGGTGGGTGGACCAATGGTACAGAATAGAGGACACAGAAACCAATCCACAAAACTACAACTATCTTATATTTGATAAAGGGGCTAAAAGCATGCAATGGAGGAAGGATAGCATCTTCAACAAATGGTGCTGGGAAAACTGGAAATCCATATGCAACAAAATGAAACTGAATCCCTTTCTCTCGCCATGCACAAAAGTGAATTCAAAATGGATCAAGGAGCTTGATATCAAATCAGAGACATGCCGTCTGATAGAAGAAAAAGTTGGCTACGATCTACATTCGGTGGGGTCGGGCTCCAAATTCCTCAATAGGACACCCATAGCACAAAAGTTAATAACTAGAATCAACAAATGGGACTTACTCAAACTAAAAAGTTTTTTCTCAGCAAAAGAAACAATAAGAGAGGTAAATAGGGAGCCTACACCCTGGGAACAAATCTTTACTCCTCACACTTCAGATAGAGCCCTAATATCCAGAGTATACAAAGAACTCAAAAAATTAGACAATAAGAGAACAAACAACCCAATCAACAAATGGGCCAAGGACCTGAACAGACACTTCTCAGAGGAGGACATACAGTCAATCAACAAGTACATGAAAAAATGCTCAACATCTCTAGCTGTCAGAGAAATGCAAATCAAAACCACCCTAAGATACCATCTCACTCCAGTAAGATTGGCAGCCATTATGAAGTCAAACAACAACAAGTGCTGGCGAGGATGTGGGGAAAAGGGTACACTTGTACATTGCTGGTGGGACTGCAGATTGGTGCAGCCAATTTGGAAAGCAGTATGGAGATTTCTTGGAAAGCTGGGAATGGAGCCACCATTTGACCCAGCTATTCCCCTTCTTGGTCTATT